TAAACATACAATTTCTTATGTTTCCCATAATAATAAAAGCTCAGTTCCTTTCATGACTATTCATTCTCATGTATGGGGTCCTACTTCTACTGTTTCATTATTTGGTTATAAATGGTTTGTTACCTTTATTGATTGTTGTACTATATTAACTTGGGTTAACTTGCTAAAAGAAAGAATCAAGTGTTTTCTTGCTTTAGGTCTTTTCATAACATGATTAGTATACAGTTTAATGCAAATGTTAAAATTTTTGAAAACTGATAATGGAACTGAATATATGAATAGCATGTTTCAGGATTATTTAGAATCTAAAAGAATCATACATCAAACTAGTTGTTTGAATACTAGTACTCAATATGGGGTGTTTGAAAGGAAAAATAGACATTTACTTGAGGTAGCTAGATCCCTTTTATTCACCATGAATGTACCTAAGACTTATTAGGGAGATGCAGTGCTCTCTGCAGTTTATCTTATTAATAGGATGCCTCTTAGGACACTCAATTTTAAAAGTCCTGTAGCCGCTTTACAGGGTAACACTTCATATATTTTTCCTCCAAAAGTATTTGATCGTATTTGTTTCGTTCATTACAGGCATGGAGGCAAGTTGGAACTTAGAGCTTTGAAATGTGTGTTTGTAGGTTACTTTGCCACTCAAAAGGGTATAAGTGTTATCATCCCCCATCCCGAAAATACTTTGGGAGTATGGATGTGACCTTTAGAGAGTTTTAGCCTTATTTCTCCCAAGCTTCTCTTCAGGGGAGATTAGGATAGATGAGGAGGTTCCTTTAGTTCCTATGTTCGTATTTGTTCCTAAACAATTTGTGAATATGAACACTAATGATGAGCAAGAACCTAAAAAATGGTAGACTTGATTTGCCAGATTTAAAAAGGTACACTCAAAGAGAGATGGTTAATGCCATCACACATGATATACCTAGTCAATCGTCATCTCTGCACTCAACTCCTGAAAATCCATATGGTGAGTGCTTTATAACTCCCAGCTCTAATTCTGATGCAATTCCTTCTGTTAATATTTCTGACTCTGACCCTGTAGTTGATAATGTTAATCTTCCCATTACTCTCAGAAAAGGGGTTAGAACTTGTACCAAACACCCTATATCCTGATTTGTTTCTTATGACTCTTTATCACCGTCCTATAAAGGCTTTGTGTTGTCTATTTCTTTTGTTTCTATTCCACAGAATTGGCAGGAAGCATATCAAGATCCAAAATGGAAAGCGGCAATGGTGGAGGAGATGAAAGCTTTGGCAAAGAATGGAACTTGGGAACTTGTTACCCCTTCATTAGGGAAGAAACCAGTGGGATACAAATGGGTATTCATAGTAAAACACAGGGCATATGGCACAGTTGAAAGGTACAAAGCCAGATTGGTGGCTAAGGGATTTAGTCAGACCTATGGAGTGGATTATCAGGAGACATTTGCTCCAATTGCAAAGATGAATGCAATTAGAGTCTTGTTGTCCTGAGCAGCCAACTTGGATTGGAGCTTGCATCAATTTGATGTAAAATTAGAGTCTTGTTGTCCTGAGCAGCCAACTTGGATTGGAGCTTGCATCAATTTGATGTAAAAAAAAATGCTTTTTTGCATGGTGATCTAGAAGAATAAGTATACATGGATATTACTGTAGGCTTTAATAATGAGAAAACCAAAAGTAATATTTGTAGATTGAAGAAAGCATTGTACAGGTTGAAATAGTTGCATAGAGCATGGTTTGATAGATTTAGTAAGCTGTGATTTCCTTCAGCTATTCTCAAAGTAATGTTGATAATACCTTATTTATTAGACACTATAATGGTAAGATCACTTTACTAATTGTCTATGTTGATGATATGGTTGTGACTGGAGATGATGAAGAGGAGATTGCTCACTTAAAGAAGTTGTTGGCGATGAAGAGGAGATTGCTCACTTAAAGAAGTTGTTGGCTCAGGAGTTTGACATTAAGGACTTAGGAGGTCTAAAATACTTTCTGGGTATAGAAGTTGCTAGATTGGATAAAGTGTCTTTCTCTCTCAAAGGAAATATATCCTGGATCTCTTAAAAGAAAATGGCATGTTGGGTTGTAAAACGGTTGATTCTCGCATTGAAGTTAGTCACAAATTGTAAGCTAGAACGAGAGAACCGGTTTACTTGGGTCAACATCAGAGATTGGTTGGCAGATTGATTTATCTCTCACATACTAGACTTAATATAACATAGGTTGTAAGTCTAGTTAGTCAATATATGCATGATCCTCGTAATTCTCATCTTGAAGTTGTCTTTTGCATTATAAGATATCTAAAATCTGCACCTGGAAGAGGTCTTCTTTAAGCATGGTCACCTAAAAACTGAAGCCTTTACTGACGCTAATTGGCTAGATATCCAAATGATAGGAGATCAACTTCTGGATATTGTACCTTTGTTGGAGGAAACCTAGTTACTTGGAGAAGTAAAAAGCACATTGTGGTAGCACATTCAAGTGCAGAAGCGGGATATAGAGCCATAAAGAGTTTGCAAATTGTTATGGCTAAGGAAGATAATGAAAGAATTGTGAATGTTGGAAGGAGAAGATTCAACTCTATTTTGTGATAATAAGGCCGCAATTAGTATTTCTCAAAATCCAGTTCAACATGATCGGACAAAGCACATAGAGATTGAAAGACATTTCATAAAAGAAGAAGTCATCAAGGTGTTTTGAAGCTTATCCATGTGACTTTGGATAATCAAATTCCAGATGCTCCTACTAAAGAGCGTAATAGCAAATAATTCCGTAAAATGGTTTGCAAGTTGGGCATGAGCAATATCCAAGCACCAACTTGAGGGGGAGTGTTGACTTGTATATAACTATTTAGGAGAAAATCATTCTTGCCTTATTTGTTTTTTTACTATTTAGAATTAGATTAGCTTTTCCTGTTTAGAGTTTGATGATTGTGTATAATAGGATGTATGAATCGCATTGAAGACACAAGAAAGATAGAAACAATATTTTCCCAAATCTGTTCTTAAACTCAACTAGGGACCTTACTGTTAGTTGGACTATAATTTAGAGACCAATTTCTTTGTCAATTGCCAATTAAAAGAGGCTATTTTGGACGGAAGGACCAACATGTTAATGAAATCATAAGTTAGGGATTTCAAAGTCAATTTTTGAAAATAGAGGCCCTCATGTGTTAATCTGACTATAACTCAATGACCAATTTGTTATTTTCCAAAATTTAAACTTGTGTCATACTCCGAGTAAATTATACTAATGGTCATCTAAATTTACACTTAATTTTATAACGTCACATAATATTAATGTCATTTTTTAGTTACTAAAACTTGATTTCTATTTCAATGGGAGGCGACTCACCCGAATCCCGTCATCGAAAATACTAACATAGCACTAAAAATAAAATATTTCATTTTAAAAAATCATATTTTCTCCTAATACATTAATTTAAAATTTATTTATTAACTTATTTAACAAATAATGCCATCTTCATGAAACAATTTTTAAAAAAATTTCAACAAATATCTAAATTTGATATTTTTAGATACCTTTTTAGACCTATTACCGATACTAAGTAGCAGTCAAAAATTTGTATCCACTTTTCATGATATTATGCACGGATCAGATATATCATGGCGAATTCTTCAGAAAATATCATGGCGAATTCTTCAGAAAAAATGTTATATTTGCAACATTTTGCTTTCTTCTCTTTTTATGTTTTCTTAATCATGAACTTTCTTTTGTGAAATATGTAATTTTAGTGTCATATTACTATTCCAATTATTAGTTTTCAGTAGGTGACCTCTCGTTGAAACAAAAATTAACGTTGAGTGACTAAAAAAATGACATTGAAATTATGTGACCTTAATGAAACTAAACGCAAAATTAAATGACTACTGATATAATTTACTTTACCCATCATATTGAAAAAAAAATCAATTAACACTATCAAATTTACTTCTATGTAATGCTTATCAAATATATTCCAATCTGCCATAAATATATCAAAATCCTTGACATGCGTTTAAGTGTAACACCCTCAATTAAAATAGCTATATATATTCTCTTATCAAACTAGGATTGTTAATATCAAACTAGGATTGTTAATCTTTTTTTGAACCCAAAATGAACAAGACTTAAGCTCTGTTCGTCAAAATTATTTGATTTAGTAGCTGTCAGCTGTTTTAGTAGCTTTGAGTTGTTTTACTAGCAATTCATCAAAGCATTTCATCAAATGTTAAAGGAAGTAATGTTTCATAATCCACTCACTCAACCTCTAAACACTAACATCAATCTTACAGTACCAAACACCATAAATAACAAAAATGGTGTTTTGACCCTATTCAAAACACTAAAAGCTCCCTTAAAAGCTATTGTAATAGAGCCTTAACCATTTTTCCATTGGTATAAGATGCTTCACCCTTATTCATTCGTGCAATCCATGGATGTTAGTTAATAAAATTTGAGGGTGCAAGTTTGGAACTAAATGATTTGCTTAATTAACTCAAACCAATTTGGAATGCATTATGTAATATTTTAAGTAATCCAATGAATTAGAAAATAAAACTAACCGTGTATGTCTTGTCTCCAACACTTTGTCCATGCTTTGATGACCATATAGATTGACGATTGACCATTCTATCAATACTCAATGCAAATAGAGTTGACAATGGATCCACTAGAAATTACCAATTGCCTTGATTAGTATAAAATCCATCATCCCCATTGATCGCCATCTCTACCTCCAAAATGGCCCAAAAGATTAGATGGTGTTGGGTTCAGGAGATAGGGTGAATGTGTGCCCCAAGTGCATAGAAGATAGCCGTGCTTCTTTACATGGAATCCTAAAATCTTTTCCATCAAATGATGCAAAAGAAAAACGCTTACCAAATTTCTGACCAAATAACCATAAGTTCTTCTATTTTGCTCTTGGGGATGTGGTGATGTGAAAACTGTAGTCATCATTTCATTGATAGGAGTCATAGTAAACCCGTAACTGAAGTTGGAAACTCATCTGGAAACTCATCTGGATAATCAAGCTTAATCTACAACAAAAGAATTATAAATGCAAATTTAGCGAACTTTGCCAATATATGATTCACAAAATAATATAGAATACATGAATGGAAAAGTGATTTTATGGGTATAGAAAATTATGTAAAATTTAAAATTGAAAACATTGAAAAAAAAAAAGAATAAGAAGAAGAACCATTCTTATCATACTCTCACTACGACCAATGCCTTTATTGGATTATGCTTATACTTATTATGCAAGAATTTTGCTACCCAAAATATGAATGACTTAAATCACAACCCTTTAAACACAAAAGAATCAAACAGCGTCATATTGTTCTATACTCGTCATATTGTTCTATACTTTCCCTTTAAAGTTTTACCTAAATGCATAGTTTGCAAAATTATTACTTAAAATTTAAATTAAATTCAAAAATAGCTATCCAACAAGAAATAATTGTTCTTTTCACTTGATATTTCATGTTGCATAGGAATTGAATTAAACTAATATAAATAATTTTAGAATACTAACCGTGCTCATTTTGGGTTCAAGGTCTTGACCATGCTTCTTAGACCACTCTGATAAACCATCATCGTTATAATATTCAGTACAAATGGAACTCACAAAAGCTCCATGTGTAATTCTTATTTGCTTTATTGCCGAATGAACCTCATCATCCCATAAATATCCTTTCCCTTCACCAAATGGACCAATAGTTTTTACAGCATATAGACTAAGCAGCATATAGACTGGAGGATAGGCTCCAAATGTCCACGCTTGAATTTTAGATGATCACCACTCATCCATCCCGAACCCATATGATCTTTACCCTCCTCAAGTTTGTGGGACAGAAAGTCCTTTCCTTTTTTCTACCCAAAAGTCCGTAAAAACTCTCTCTATTAGTTTTTAATTGTAATTGATTCGAACCACAGCGGGGAAGTTAGAATTTCTACCTCATGATATCCTGAAATTGAAGTCCACATATTCATCTTGGATAATCTAGATCAAACCTACAAAATGAATCATTATTAAGAATTGGCGTGGATAACGAGTTTTGACTATGAAAATTAATCTCCTAGAAAAAACACAACGAAAGGTTTTAGTCCTTAATTGAAAAGGAGACAATGCAATACTACTTCTCATGATTTGGGCTGTAATAACACGAAGCCAACCGTAAGCTGCTCGAGGCTCAGCTTTGCGAAAAATAATAAAAAAATTTGATACTCTGTTCACTGAGAGCTCGAAGTCTAACTTATCAATATTTGGTAAAATATATAAGGTTCGAGCCTTGAACTCACAGTTGAACCCATAAAAGGGCAGAAGTTTGCTTTTTAAAAAAAACTATAAATTTTGTAAAAGAGTAGAGCTGTATCTCAGTTTTTTCAAACCTCAAAATCAAGCTTAAGCTCAACAGAGTTCAAAACTTGGCCTGTTTACAACGCCTACTTACATGTATCATACCCTCTTTAAAACCACTTTAACTTGATAGAAAGGCACAAAAAGGCACCCTATGTCATAATCCAATACGCTTTAAAAAAACTAATGCAATATTCTAGATGCAAATCAAAGAATAAGACAGACTAAACCACATATGGTGGTGCTGCTGCCTCCCTTCCTCCATGCTTAAGTAGATGATACCAGCTCCCATTGTTTTCGTATTCTATGATGAATGGAGTTGATTAACATAAGATTCAGAAACCACAGTTTATATCGCCTTATATGTAGTGTATGATCCCCATCTCCCAATAAGACTCCACCATTGCCTCCAAATGGACAAAAGATTTAAATGGTCAGTTGGTTTCCCATAATACTCAACTGAAAGTAAGATAATGATCATAACTCTCCAAAGAACCCAACATTTTTGCCTATACTTAGATGGAACCAAAAAATAGTCCCGCCCTTCTTACTTTAGTACCAAATGGACCAAACACTCTTCTATTGCTTATTTAACAACCATTGAACTGATATAAATACGATCGAATATTTTATTGTAGTAACCTGAGATTGATGTCAAATACTCATTCGGATAGTTCCCAGTTTTGATCTGCAATTTTTTTGCATCACAAATTAACTACAAATTGGATTATTTTAAATAATAAAATGCACAAAATTGAAATAAAAAAATGGAAAAAGATTTTCCATTTCAAAGCTTCGCAATGAAGCTTGAAGAACTAGAATATTGAGTATTGAGTCGATTTAGGCTATTTAGGAAGTATATATTGCTCTTTCCTTATTTATTCTAATTATCCCCCTATTTAGAATTTGAATAACTGTGTATAAATAGGTTGTATAAGTCTCATTGAAAACACAAACAAATAATATAATAAAATTTCCCAAACCCGTTCTTTAATTAAAATCCAACAAGTTTCTCTCAATAAAATAAAAAGCTTCCAATTTTTCCAAGCAAAACAAAGTCTCTAATTATTCTGCAAGTTATTTCACTCCTCAAAAGTCTCTTCATATATCCTCGATATTTTTGTTGCCCTAGAACAAATTCAACCTTAAGTTGTTACTTTTGTTAGTTTTAAAGTAAAATTTTAGTCCTAGTTTTTAACCCATATGTCAAAAATAAAAATAAAATTGTGCATCTTATTGTTAATTAATTAATCGGAATGTGCAAAGGTGAAATTTGATTCATTTGATTTTATAATTTAGAGCAATAAATCAAATTATAATGCAAGAAAGCCTCTCTTTAGCCTAACAATTTAGTAAAACCATTTATTGATGACATGATTGAACAAGATATAAAAATTAAAAAGAATAAAAATTAATTTCTCCCTAAACTTGGAAGCAAACTTCCCAATTTTTTGACCAAAAAATTCATTCTTTATACAATTTAACACCCTAAACTTATGAAGCAATAATTCAATTTGACCAAAAAATATCAACTTTTATACAATTTACCCCCCTAAAACTTGCAAACAAAGGAACAAAAAGCCCAATTTTTTATACATTACACTAAAACTTTATTTCTAAAAATTGAGCTTCCAATTAAATCAAGGGATAAAATTTGAAATTTTGATATTTGAAAGAAATAATATAGCAATAGATCCTTTATTTTTTAATTTTGGTTTGATGTCAAAATATGATTGAGTAGAGATGTCAAAAAGCATATGGCCAGATATAGTGTAATAATAAATACCATATATAACCTTAAGAAATAAAATCTAGGTCTGAATGAGCCCAATGAAGTACTGCTAAAAAGGTAAAAAATATACTTCTTCATTTCATTGCAATGTATCATTTGAGGTTATTATTGCACCACATTAAAGAGTAATTGAAAAGTATCAAATTTTTAGCAAAAAAATATTTATATTAACTAATTACATTTATCAATTTCTAACTAATTAAATGCATACATTAGTGGAAGATACAACAAAAAGGACAAGTATAAAAATTGAAAACAAATTATTAGTAACTTCCTTGATAAGTCTAAAATAACATTATAGTGGACAAAAAAAAAATGAACCTTAAAATACGCTTTATAGTAAGAAAGGGAGTAAATCTAATATCTAAGAATTATTTTATAGAAATAAAATTCTATAAAAATTTTGTGGAGTTTGATTGAATTTTAAATTTTGTAGGTAGTATTTATGTCAAATACTAAAATTTTGCTCCTGACATATAACAAAATTTCCTGGCCCTAGCAAATAACTCTACCCTTAAAAAATTATCCATGTAGAATTAATCTAAATTTATATCATACATAAAATGACATGGAATTCAATTAGATTATCAAATTTCAAAATTTCAAAATTTTATTAGCACAAACATGAAAAAATTCATAATATCAATGGATTCTACATTTTAAAAAAAAAATGGTTTATACCAAAGTTTGTTTGTACTGTTTGCTAAGAAGATCATGAAACCTTTCTTTTTCAATCCAAAAACCAAAGAAATTTAAAAGGTAATGCAAATTAAATAAAACTGGCTTGAAATAAAAATGAACTAACCTGAAAAAGTCTTTCATTAGGGTTTCCCACCATGTAAACTTTTCCATCAGACCAATTTGGAGCTGTCCATTTATCATCCAATACTCTACTGCCTATGTAGTCGGACAACCATTCCACAATGTAAAGAACATTTGTCTAACAGTGGTGTGGACATCCAATGGTCCCAATGAATTCTCAGACTCACCTCCCGAATGGCCCAACAAATTCACAAGCCCTTCCATCATCAAGTTTAATCCACAATATGACGAGATGAACATAATGAGGAAAGAGACTGTAATACTCAACCTTGAAGAAGATGCATTTTAACCAGCAACAAGCTATAAATCTTGGCGCAGCTGCACTTATATAGTTAAACACAAGGATAAAAAAGTTAGATGCCTACATCATTAGGTAATTTCTTTCAAGAGAATATATATTGTTGCTTATAAGTTTTTTATAATCAACTAACTACAATCAAAATCTTATAACAAAAATATGATGCCACCGTTGTAGGACGTTCTGGCATGCCTTCTGCTTGGAAGGGAACTTGGTTAACTATTAACTTTGACATAATTTTCCTCTTATAAATCTTACCTTCCTTTTCAGCTTTACATATACCAAAAAAATCAAAATTAAAAAAAAAAAAAAAATGATTTTTTGTTTTTTATAACTTGTATATAGCAATGTCTCCTCATGCAGTACTGGGAATTTTGCACAAATTTATACTTGTAATAGGCATGATCATACTGACCAAATACTAATTACTATAAGCCTATAGAGTGCTATATATGATAAACAATCATTTAATACCCGTAAAAAATAGATCATAAGACTATTCAATAATACTATTTTTAATTGTAACACAGACTGAATTTTTTTTAGTGTCGGTTAAATCGTCCGATTACCGGTCTGTGAATAGATACCATCGGTCCGGAACTTGGTATTATTTTACGTCCCGGAAATACTAATGCATAGTTACAATATTTTATTTAACTATTTTGGAGCATGTTTGCATGATTTAGTGGGAATAGAAATATTTAATGAATATTTTTGGAGAGTTTATGTATTAGAATGCAATAATATTCTAAGATGGTGGTATAATTAGAAATAAATAGAGGAATTATTTTAGGTGGAGTTAATTTAATTAATTGGTTGGAGTTAAAATAAGAAGTAGAGAGAATATATTTGTGGAAAATATTTAGAGCCATTGGAATGAGATTACTTAGGACTTGATCTTAGCCACACATTTGCAATGATTTTAGGAAGTCAATTTGAACTTATTGGCACTTAAAGTAAACACCAAAACACTCTATTTCTTTCTCTCTTCTTCTCCTTATCCACGCCATCTCCATCTTCTTCCTCTTTCTTCTTCATTTCTTCCATTTTCCTTAACCTCAAATTTACCCACCAAACTACCTAAACTTAAATTCATAGATTAGTACTTAATTTTAGAAAGAATTAAGAAGTCAGAAGTTGAGTTTGGTGATTAAAAACAAAGAAGAAGTGAAGTTACCATCCTCGAAGCAAGTAAGTTGTGGTTTTTGAGTTTTGTGATTGTTAAGTAAAATTCATGGTTTTAGACATGTTATTGATGCATTAAATCATGCATAACCATACTAATTTCTTTTGTTAGTTTGCTTGTAATGTTGATTTCTTCCATGCTTTGAAGAGGTTGGAGAACCATCCCTCAAACGGGAAGAGAAAAAGCCAAGGAGTAAGGCTTTCCAAGCTTTTTTCCACAACTTTGTTAATAAGAGTATAGTGCAATCATAATTTCAACTTGTTTAAGTTTGTTTT